CCATATTAGAGGCACATGTATGCATACTCCGACGTGCACGGTGAACTTTTAATTTAATGTGTTGCAAAAAATTGAATGGAAATATCAGATATATGTGATCTCGGAGACGAGATAATGGGATGAAGTGGACTCATTCAATCCAGATACATGTTTTATTCGATTTTCAACTCATCTTATATTACCAACTTATATCTAATTTGCTTATAATTATCAATTGAAAAAAAAGGTGAGAAAAAATAATGTTACACAATTTTTAAAGGTGAAATTAAAATAAAAAGTGAATATAAGACCAAAATACAGTTTTTTGTATTCAAGAATTAAAGTTTTGTTTGTGATCAGACCTCTTTATCTTCTATCACAAAAAATGGACATTTAAACTTTCCTACAGTGAAAATTAACTTTGAAAATATATAAACTAAACAAAAAAATTTACCAGACATCCACTTCTATACATGGGAAGTTGATTCCTACATGTATATAAATTTACTAGACATTCAACAACGTTACTTGCGTACGTGCCGAAATAATTTGTGTCACATAGCAATAGGCAAAGACAGTTGTATAATGAAAATGATATGTTTTTCCACTTGTGAGCATGTGATGTGTGAATATAAAGGGAATCACCAATGAGCAACAAAAATTGACTGAATTTTATGTTTTCTTTATACGTAGAAATAATAGCGACGTAGACGTTGTATGACTAAAGTTTTATATTGGTCGGTGTTGGAACAGAACCGTTGGGATTTTTATGTCTTGGGTGATTGTAAGTGTATTTTTTGGGTACGCTAATTGTTGTTGAATATTACGTGTGGAATAATAAAGGATGAGAAAATGAGCTGGTTTTACAGGTATACATAGAGGAGCGAGGGCTGAGGGTGACACCATGCTTAAAGTGGCACACTACAAAGATGAATTTATGAGCTGCCACTGCCACAGATTGTGGGGTCCATCACAGTGCCCCTAATGGGCCCCACCATATTATTGAGACTTAGCTTTGAGCCATGTGATGCAGGACACTAACCTAGCTGGATGTGCCCAATCTGTTATCCCAATCCAAACCTTTTACATCATACTCTTGCTTTACCTGAATCGGAAAAAAAAAAGTAATTAAGACCACATTTTCAAAATATAACATAACCCACCAACAATCTATTCCTAATATATTTTTACATTCTCTCTTATAATGTCATTTTAGATGTAACTTTATTCTTGATTTCTAAAGAGATATTCACTTTTTTATTTATTATAACGCATTATCATATTATCTCCATTTTTCACTTTTAACTTTTCAATATATATTTTTTCATATACAAGTAAGAATCTAAGTTTTTAAATAAAAAAAAGTTTTATTATAAGGAAAACTATTGAGCTTCTCATACCAGATCGTTTGGTGCAGTAAATGACTAAAATTTTGGGTCAAAATACCACGTTACATTTAATTAGTAAGAAAGTTGTATAAACATTTTTTTAAAAATATTTACCATCACACAATCCTAAAATTATAATTTATCTAATTTAATTGATTCATAATAATCACGATTTTAATATATATATGTATAAATTCTTCGCATTAAATACTAACTGCCTTGTTGTTTAAACATTAGAAATGCCTTTTTTCTTTAAATTGTCAAAGGAAAAAGAATAAGATGAGTTTGGTTCAGTCTTTTTTATGAAGTCACTTAATAAGGATAAATTAATTCAATCTTTTTTTAAATGGTCCATAAATTACAACCTTTTACTATCATAATATCTTTTTGTCCATATCGGTCTTGTACTGAAGTTTTTTTTTCTTTCTTTTTATTGTTTAAATTGGTATAAGATTGATTGGGAGTAAAAATATGTCATTAGATCCAATGAATGTGGTAAAATCGTATGTAAGACTATATCAGGATAAGTTAAAATCAAACACTAGAATCTTATAAATAATTTAGTGTCTCAAAATTTATTTGTAAAAAACGGTTAAAGTCTTGTGAATAGTACACACTTAAGATTAGGTACTTAAAAAAAAATAATTTTTTAATTTTATAATATAAACAAACCCATTTTAGATCAGACAACATAGGTTGTAATTTTTTAACTCAAATTAATTTACGTATTTTTAAGGTGAATATTTGACTAACCTTATTTTAACAATCTTATTATTTGGCAGTAGTTGACCCACAGAATTTAACTATAATATATAATTACATTAAATATATCTTTAATGGTAATCTTAGTAATAAAGTAAAACTGTATGTATCTCACAGAAGCTCCATATGTAAATTTATGAAGTAACCACTCTTTATTAAATTACAAAACAACAACGTCATGTTTATTTATTTTAATTGAACTTCTTTTTTTGTTTCTTTATTATTGTCTATCATGTCTGATTCGTGTAAATAATTGTTTTTAAAAATACTAAAAAAGTATAATTATAACATGTAAGATTTGATATTTGAAATATTAAATATAAAACATTATTTAAAATATTTTCAACTTAAATGTCAATCTTAATCCGTGCTATTGTTAATTTCACGTGAAACAATTCTTTGTCTTATTTTCCAGTATCCTCATTTTTAAATCTTTGTTATTATTTAACTGTTGGTTTTAAAGGTTCAAGAGATAATATTAGTCATTTTTCTTTATTTATATTCTTATTTATTACTTAACAATTACGTTATATATATATATATATATATATATATGTATTAAAGTAAAAAATTTATAGATATGTTATTAAAGTAAAAAAAATATTAAACGATAATGAAAAGAAGACAGATTATCTTTTCATAACAGGCAATCTTGTTTGAATGAAATAAAATATTATAAAAAATTTATAGATATGTTATTAAAGTAAAAAAAATATTAAACGATAATGAAAAGAAGACAGATTATCTTTTCATAACAGGCAATCTTGTTTGAATGAAATAAAATATTATAAAAAATTTATAGATATGTTATTAAAGTAAAAAAAATATTCATTGTAAAAATAAATAGATATGTTATAGATATGTTATAGATATGTTATAGATATGTTCATTGTAAAAATAAAAAATAAAATAGAAAAATTTATAGATATGTTATTAAAGTAAAAAAAATATTAAACGATAATGAAAAGAAGACAGATTATCTTTTCATAACAGGCAATCTTGTTTGAATGAAATAAAATATTATAAAAAATTTATAGATATGTTATTAAAGTAAAAAAAATATTCATTGTAAAAATAAATAGATATGTTATAGATATGTTATAGATATGTTATAGATATGTTCATTGTAAAAATAAAAAATAAAATAAAAAAATTTATAGATATGTTATTAAAGTAAAAAAAATATTAAACGATAATGAAAAGAAGACAGATTATCTTTTCATAACAGGCAATCTTGTTTGAATGAAATAAAATATTATAAAAAATAATTTTCTTTAAAAAATTTGGCACATTTGTAGAGTTACTCGTAACATAAAAATAAATTCATTAATGAGAGAAAGACAAATTAAAAATGTACCAGCATGTACATGTTAACGTGTACCCAGATTCTACGATAGAAAAATCTGGGGGCATATATAACATAAGTGCGTGGAAGTAGGATGAGAAGTTAAATGCATAAAATGTTTTTCACCAAGCAAAGACGGTGAGAGAAAAAAAAAGAAAAGAAAAGAAAATGAGAAGGATGTACATATATACTATGGCACCTGTGAAATGTGGACGTGAGTGACGATGACTGGGTACCGGCAAAGACGCAAACCTCCCTCCTTTCTCTCCATAATGGTGTCTGTATGTGGTTCCGCGTCACGTGGCTTTGTGCGTTGCGTTATTCCTTTTCCTACCTTTGTTCTCAAATCCACATCCCAACTAGATTACGTTAGCTTTCCTCCATTTTCTCTCCCTTCATCTTTTTCAAGCTCTGCCCCTTTCATTTACTTTTTCATTTTCTTCAATGTAAAAAAATGAGGTGAATTCATCTACCATTTTTCTAAAATTTGGACCACATCCAATATTCTTTTTCTTATAACTTTTTCAAAAGTAAAAGAATCACTATAAATATACCCCCCAGTTTGGTTTATTAATAACAAATCAAGAGTTTCTTTAGTTTGGTAATAACATAAAATGTTTACGCGTAACCATTTCTCTTAAATATATATACTGTTTGTGCATATAATGTGTAGGTTTGAGAGATGTATTTTTTTGTTCTGCTCGCTTGTATTCTTGATTATGGAAGTTATATGCAAAAGACACGTTTAAGTTAAGAACAATTTAATGAATTGTTTAATACAATTGAATATTTTGGGTTTAGTCGATTTTGGTCTTCATTTTATATTTATAAGTCATATCATGGATCTTAAACTAGCACAAATCTAATAAAATAAAAACAAACTTACATTTAGATTCGATTAGTTACTCATAAACGGCTTATCAATATCTTTAATCAGATATCTTTGATTATTTATCGTCTGCTCGATTATTGGTCCAATAATAATTTAAACGCTGATTCAATTATAACCTAATATGGTTGATGTAAGTCATGAATGTTAACCGATCTATATTATATACTATACATATACAATTAAGTATTTCATTGCTATATTATTTATTAAAAAAAATTAAGGTAAATTTGTCTAATGCATGTGTATATAAGAAACAGCATCTGTCAAAAGAGTTTAATCAGTTAACTATTTTGTATAATTAATGCCTAACTTTCTGTTAAGAAATAACTTTTTCGAATAAAAAAAACAGTTCTTTTTATTTTCTTGGCGTTTTCTTTCATTTTCCTTCTAGTTAAACAGGTAGATGAAATACATTATTATGTATATTTAAATTAATGACGTTAATATTTGAGATATCTATTTAATGGCTTTTTAGTTGGACGTACGTACTAATGGGACAATTAAATACGCTTTCATACACTAAAATGATTGTTTGGTCATTAAGAAAATGAAGGTGTGGGTAAAATGGTAAAAGCGGGAAGAGAAACTTTGATGCGGGAGTACAGTTGGAGAGGGTCGTTGTGGAGGGGTAAATTGGGAAAGAAGGTGAGAAAAGGTTGAAAGCACGCGACCACAATGCAGTGAAGGTGAAGGGAAAATGATGGTGGTTGTTGTTCTTACAGATGCCTGGCGCGGCTCGCTTATGAGACCCTTTCGTTTCCACAACTACCCTTTTTCCCACACGCCCTCTCTCTCCACTTCTAATTATATTGCTTTCTCTCTCTAACATTGTCGGAGAACACACTCTCTTTTTTTCTCTCTCTCTCAATCTCTCTCTCTCTTCTTCACACTTTCTTTCTCGAGCAACTGAATTCGTCTCCGATTCGCTCTCCTCTGCGTCTCTCTGTTACAACGCTGCTTCCCCATGGAAGCAGGGGAAGATTGCTGCGTTAAGGTCGCGGTCCATGTTCGGCCACTCATCGCCGATGAGAAGCTTCAAGGATGCAAAGATTGCGTCACCGTCGTTTCTGGGAAGCCGCAGGTTCACTTACTTACTCACTCTCAGCTCAATGCTGTCGTTTAAACTTCGCCATTGGCGAATGTGAAAATGAACAGAGCGCATTGTCGTTGACTGTTGACACTGTTTGAGTTCCGCTGTTAGCTACTATTAATTTCCTCTTACGCGAGAGATCTGGATCCGAAACTGCTTACGTTATAAAACATGTTTTACAGAGTTTGGAATTGGAATTACTTTTGTTTGTGATCTGACAAACTTACCTAATTTGGATATTTGACTTGTGTCTATTTCTGACTCCTGACATTCTAGCCTAGGCTTGATTCGTAAGTTTCTGAAACGTTATTTTGGGGAAATAGACAGGGTTTGTTTTTGGTAACTATATTTCGACTAGTGTTTTCAACGAGAGAAGGAGAAGAAGGCTTTTATCCAGTTTTACAGTTTCACCTTTTTTTCGTACGATCCATAACCCGTCAGTTACTAAGATACAGTGTTTTAAACAGTACACATATGTGTGTGTATTATGATAATAATTCGCCAATTCTTCTCAACTTTGGTAAGGCACACTAATTGAACATGATTCATTAGCAAGGGCAGGGAGATTTAGGAAATAAAAATAGCTCTACAGTTTCTCTGTGTCATCAGAACCTCGGTTCAATTGCTTGCTGCATTATTTTTTGCCTTTTTCTCGGTTTCCAATTTAAATTTGCACTGTATGCATCGTGTCTGATATTATCATCTTCATTTTTTTTTCTGTAATAGTAGGTCCTAATTTCGTCTTCTTATTAATAAAGCTATTACAGTGGAATATGTCAGTCATTCTCTTATTTTCAAAGAAATCTAGCAGCTAGCGTTCAGTATAATTTTCATGTAACTTACATATTTGCATAGACCCAAACTGCGTATGGTTTATTTTCAAGTCACTGGGACTCCATCATCGGAAAATGAACCCACTAATAATAATAATAATATATTTTTAAGTGGCTAAAAATTTGGCTGGGGATTCATATGCTAATAATTGTTACCACAATCCAGGTACAAATTGGTGCTCACTCCTTTACATTTGATCACGTTTATGGAAGCACTGGTTCTCCCTCAAGTGCCATGTTTGAAGAATGTGTTGCTCCCCTTGTTGATGGTTTGTTTCAAGGATATAACGCTACTGTTCTCGCTTATGGTCAGGTATACTTACTATGAAAGTGAACGGAAGTTACATGCCACTACAATGGTCTCTTTTTGCATTTTACAGTTTCAGTCTACTGCAGACAGGTTCTGGGAAAACGTACACCATGGGAACTGGCTTTAAAGATGGTTGCCAAACAGGAATAATACCTCAAGTTATGAACGTTTTGTTTAGCAAAATTGGGACCCTAAAGCACCAGATTGATTTTCAGTTGCATGTGTCTTTTATTGAGGTTTGTTGATCAGTTCATTATTTGCAGCATGAGTTTCATAATTTGATTGTTCTTTAGTTAATGAAGCTAATAAAAAATTTATATGTTAAAAAACATTTAGATTAAGTATTTGACAATAACCTTTAATTGTGAAAAGATTCTTAAAGAAGAAGTAAGAGACTTGTTGGACCCCTCGTCCATGAACAAACCAGAAACTGCAAATGGACATTCAGGAAAAATTACCTCTCCTGGGAAGCCACCAATACAAATTCGTGAGACATCAAATGGTGTCATCACCCTTGCAGGATCCACTGAAGTCAGTGTTACAACACTAAAGGAAATGGCTGCTTGCCTGGAACAGGGATCATTGAGCAGGGCAACTGGGAGCACAAATATGAACAACCAATCCAGGTAGACGATTCATTTTTCTTCTCTTCTTTGAACTACCTATAACTAAATGTTAAAATTGGATACACCTTTAAAGTGTACCGGCTGTTTTTAAGCATCTGACGGTAAGGCTGACTTTGTAATAAGCCATGTAGAAATGTTTTAACTTTTGGATCTCTGGTTACCGGTGAATAGCTGAATAGTTAAATTTCTATGCACTAAATACAAAAATCTGACACTGTCAATCGAACATAAATTATCGTTTTTATAACTTTAAAAACAGTTATTATAAAAGCCTATAAACTTATTATACACAACAGTATGTGATTGAATGATAGTGTGAAAGACTTTTACATCAGAGCATACAAATTTTACTTCGTGGTACTAGTCTATGATAAAAAAAAAATGCCTTAAACGGCTGTTCCTGTTTATTCTACTGGAGTTTTATTACTTATTCTTCTTTTTGTGTAGTCGATCTCATGCCATCTTCACCATCACCCTAGAACAAATGCGAAAGCTGAATAGTCCTGGTGAGAGTGGTTTAAATGATACCATGAATGAAGAGTATCTTTGTGCCAAGTTACACTTAGTAGATCTTGCTGGATCAGAACGAGCTAAAAGAACAGGGTCTGATGGTCTGCGTTTTAAGGAAGGTTAGTTTGGGACATTTTTTTCACCTTAAGTTAAGTATGTTTTTGAGAAAACATATTCACCGGTCATTTAATCTTTCAAACAGGAGTTCACATTAACAAAGGCCTTCTAGCCCTTGGCAATGTTATTAGTGCACTTGGTGATGAAAAGAAGCGAAAGGAAGGTGTTCATGTTCCTTATAGGGATAGTAAGCTTACTAGGCTTTTGCAGGTTTGATATCTTTATATACACACCTTTCAGTTTTCTGTACTCACTTTTCTTTATTATGAAGTATGTGGTACTTTTTTTGGATAATAATCATTGTGCCCTCTATTTGTCATTTCTCAAAAAACATCAACATATAATTTCATAGGAAGCTCTTTCACAGCATGAGCTTTAAACAAATACTGCAGAAACGAAATTCTGTAAGAATACAATATATCAAAGAAGGCTCCTCTGCCAACACCCCAAATCTTTCCCCAAAATATGAAGCCCCCTTCCCTTCCCCTAGCACTCCATTTTCATATTATCGTTCCCTTGCATGATCCAAAAGTCCTCCATCTCCAATGTCCTTATGACAGCGCCCATTTTGTTAGATCTCACCACTTCCTCTCTAACAGAATTGAGATTTTTTATTCCGAATTATGTCCCTTTTCCGTCCCTTGGTCAAATGGTATGTTGGGTGATTCTCAACTGAAATATTACAATTGCTTTTGTGAAAAGAAATAATTATTGCTAATAAAAGAAGACAATATAAAGTAAATATGTATGTAAAGTATTTTGTATTTGGTTTTCTTTGATATTACAATTGCTTTGCTGAAAAGAAATAATTATTGCTAATAAAAGAAGACAATATAAAGTAAATATGTATGTAAAGTATTTTGTATTTGGTTTTCATTCTTTGATCTTTAGTTTGATTATTTTATATTTAAAGATGAAAGTTAAATGATTCTGCAGGATTCACTAGGAGGTAACAGCAGAACTGTCATGATTGGTTAGTTGTTTCTCTTTCTTTCTTGTATTCCAATAACTTCTACATTTCTTGGGTATCTTAAGCGGCATTTGGCTCCAAAGAAACATTTCTAATCTTCAGGATGCCAATCTGTTTCTTAGCCTTTTTAAATTCTTTAATCTTAATATTCCAGGGTGGCTTGATATGTTATAAATTATTAACAAATTTCATGATAACACATAAACTATGATTTTATGTTTTTCATTCTCAAACTTTTCCCTACTCTGGAAATAATTATTTTTCAGCAGATTTGAACTTCTTGCATCTCCTCTTTGGTAATAAATGATTGAAGGCAAGAATAATGATGCTCTGTTCTGTTTTACCGATTTCGTCCAAACCTTTCGTGTTTCATCTAATATAAGCTGCTGTTAATTTGTTCTTCTTCTTCTTACGTAAAACAATATTTCTGTCAGCTTGTATAAGTCCTGCTGATATTAATGCTGAGGAAACCCTTAACACTTTGAAGTACGCAAATCGTGCACGCAATATCCAAAATAAGCCTGTTGTAAGTATCTGCAAAAAAAAAAAAAAAATCTGTTCTTTTCTTTTGGAAAAATTGAGATAATTTTATTTTGATTTATGTTTGCTTATTGATTCTTCTGTAGATCAATAGAGACCCCATGTCCAATGAGATGCTAAAAATGCGACAACAGCTAGAGTATTTGCAGGCAGAACTTTGTGCTCGAGCTGGTGGCTCTTCTGAGGAAGTTCAGGTAGTGGGATCCAGTTAACTTCAATCTTAAGAGATTGATGTCTTGATTACTTCAATATACTTCCTATAATGGGCTAGTAGTACCATGGATGATTTGCATTTATCATAAATATAATAATTTTATAACTTATTATATAGGTCCTTAAGGAAAGAATTGCTTGGCTTGAAGCTGCTAATGAAGATCTTTGCCGTGAACTTCATGAATACCGTAGTAGATGTTCTATTGCAGAACCAGGTGAAAGGGAAGCTTATGTATGTCTCTTACTTTGTCTTACTTTTCATATTCAACTAAGGATATTTTTCTCAGTTTCTGTTTTGATGCGTCTGTCCTTTCATCTCATCTTGGTATTTACAGTCCACTTAATGAAGTGAGTTCAGGATATTGGCTTGATAATGTATGCATGCGTGGTTTAAAACTATTTTCCAGGATGGTAACACATACATTGTGAAGACTGATGCAATTAAGAGGAGCTTACCTATCATAGAAGCTGAGTATCCAATGAGTGAAACAGTGGGTAAGCCTCTTCTTTGGCATTTCTAAAATATTGTTGCTGCTATTTAGTCAAATGTGGTTTGAACTGCAATGATTCAGGGTTTTATTTGCCCTTTTAGCAGGTGATTCTAGGGAAATAGAAGAAGTAGCAAAAGAGTGGGAGCACACACTTCTGCAGAATAGTATGGATAGAGAGTTACATGAATTGAATAAACGCTTGCAACAGAAAGAGGTTGTTGCAATGTCTACGTGAATGCATACCCGTGACACACTATGCATCAATCAGTAGTGTATTTTTATGTACCATGAGCAACTTCTTTTCTCTAATTTGGTGAACCTTATTATGAGAAACTTATTTCTGCTGCTTAATACTGTTCCCACTTGTGTTATACTTGAATCCATTTTTTTTGTAACTAAGTCACATATCTTCTTAAGGTTGTTATGCTACTAAAAATGATCAGAATATCTTATCATACGGGAACTTAATAATTTAACAAGAGAAACAAAAGCTAAAACATATCACTAAAGCTGTAAAATGTTTCTTTTACAAACCTTATAATTATGCTCTCTTAGAAATTTCTTCCATGTCTTCACCTGTCGCGTATTTTATTTTATTAATTTAATTTTTTTTTATTAATATCTGGGCAGTCCGAGATGAAGCTTTTTGGAATATCTGATGCCGAAGTACTCAAGCAGCATTTTGGTAGAAAGATAACGGAATTGGAAGATGAGAAGAGAGTAGTGCAGGTTCGATATAAGTTATGCAAATTTATTTTACGCTACTTAAAAATTATATTGATTTATGCACTTGATTTATGAATGCAGCGAGAGAGAGATTGTCTTTTGGCAGAAGTTGAAAATCTCGCTGCCAATTCTGATGGACAAACACAGAAATTAGAGGATATTCACGCCCAAAAATTGAAAGCACTTGAAGCACAGGTGCCTCCTTCTCAATTTTCGCATTAATATTTAAATTTATTTTCAGTTCCAGATTTAAATTGAAAGATATTCTAAATTACGAAAAAAATTTCAAAACCCTGCCCAAAAGATTATGGATCTGAAGAAGAAGCAAGAGAGTCAGGTCCAGCTTCTGAAGCAAAAGCAAAAAAGTGATGAAGCAGCAAAGAGACTGCAAGATGAAATACAGTGTATAAAGGCTCAAAAGGTTGACTGTTGTATTTCTTCAAATCAAGGTTATAAAAATCTCTTAATATATTATCTCTGTTATAACCTGAATAATATTGCAGGTTCAATTGCAGCAAAGGATAAAACAAGAATCAGAACAGTTTCGGCAGTGGAAGGCTTCAAGAGAGAAAGAGTTATTGCAAGTATGACAAGCTTTTTCTTTTTTTCAATTAACTGAATAAACATCTTAAAATGCTTTATTTTTTTTTTCCCAAATTGAAATATTTTCTTCATGACTAATTTGATGTTTCTTTGTAAAATAATAAACATCAATTCATGCATAATTTAAAGTTTCAAGACCTGACTGCTCAAAAGTTTGCAAATAACAAATAAAGAAGTTAGATGTAGAGGCCATGATCACTTCATATATTTACTGTAAACATGATAATTGATCACTTTTTCTTTGCAAAACAGTTAAAGAAGGAGGGAAGAAGAAATGAGTATGAAAGACACAAGCTGCAAGCTTTAAATCAGCGGCAGAAATTGGCAAGTATTTCTAAGTTGTTTCATTGCTACTATGTTTTAGATAATGGTTTTGCTTTTCATTATAAAATTAATCTAATATGCGATATGAAATTGAGTTTTTATATGTTTGGCAAATTAGAGTGGTTTTTAAGCGTTTATAGGCTGGCCTCCCCTAAGCGTTTACTCCTGCAAGTATTTAAAATGTATGCGTACTTTTTAGCAATAGATACACTTTGAACTTTGATATTGAGAAAATTGCTTACCTCAAATTATTAATAATTTTTAATCTTCAAGAATGATGATTTTGTTTACATTATGGATAAATATCACTGAGGAAACTGGTGGTACAGTTCCCCCCGGCCTACCCAGTGGCTTTATTTAGCAGGGAGTTGGGGAACTTTTTGCATGTGGCACGTGTTAATTACCAAGAGACTGTTAAAGTCTGCCTTTCTATTTTATGTTTGAGCTTTTTATTCAAACAAAGGTAATGAAAAGAAAAGAAAATATGCTATAATGCATCGAAGTCTTTATTCTGAACCGCAAGATGGAACGAATTGCCAAGGTAACCAAATTGCTGTTGCATGGTATCGTGTCAGTTAATTTAATCAATACTGCATAGTTATTTTCAAAATATTATTTCAAATAGGTTACATGTGAGAATGGTAACATAAGCAGATTTAGGAAACTGGTGCACTATCTTCGAAAACGTTTTCCCCAAAATAAATCATGTTTAAAAAAGAAGTTGAATGCATGCATTTCATAATGTTTACTCGATCTTAAAATTATATACAGAAATTCAGTTCTTGTTTTTAAGTTGAATAAAACATATTTCTATTTTTGTGATTTGAAATTGTAAATCGAATAGACATGTGGTAAATTCTTCCGTTTATCTTTTCCGCTAAAAAGTGCATAAATCTTTGTATAGGAAAAAGGAAAAGATTCACAGAACCACAAATTGATGTTATTGTTGATTTTTGTGATTGTCATGCAAAGTGTGTATATATTTCAGGTTCTTCAGAGAAAAACTGAAGAAGCTGCGATGGCTACCAAGAGGTTAAAGGAGTTGTTAGAAGCACGTAAAACTTCAGGCCGAGAGACTTCAGGTGTGATTTTTTTTTACGTGGACGGACGATGCTTATTTATTTATTTATTTTTATATATATTTTCATCCGTATGGGATATTAAAAGAATCAGGTGTGGCTTAAATGTGATGTGCTTTTGAAATGTCTAAATAGAAAAACAGTCCACTAATGAATTGCATGGTAGTATCATTGCATTTACTCTTTTGTTATTTTTCTAATTATTTTTCATCTTTCAGTTACAACGAATGGAAGTGGAACAAATGGTCAGGTAATGAGCTCTTCTTCTTTCTCTTAGATTTGCTTTAGTATCATGTGGTCTTAACAAAGTTTTTGAGCTTCATGTTTAGAGCAATGAGAAGTCTTTACAACGGTGGCTTGATCATGAGCTAGAAGTTATGGTAAAGGAGCACGAAGTCCGTTTTGAGTATGAGAAACAGAGCCAAGTGTATGTAACACACGTCCAGTACTTATTTTTTCTTCTGATTGATCTATATTGGATAGTCTATAATATTATGGTGCAATCTTCAGGCGAGCTGCCCTTGCAGATGAATTAGCCATGCTGAAGCAAGTAAATGAGTTTGCTGCAAAGGGTCTCAGTCCTCCAAGAAAGAATGGATTTGCCAGGTACTATTTCTTTTGAAAACAAGTTAATTTAATTTGTCAAGTCTTCCTCTTAAGTTCTCAAAAATATTTGATCTTTGAGGTACTGATGCATAGAAGATATGATGGATAACATATGTTTTCCTGGCTGCTTTTAAAATTGTATTTCCCAGGGCATCCTCCATGTCACCAAATGCAAGAATGGCCAGAATAGCTTCCCTTGAGAACATGCTGAGTATATTATCTAATTCACTTGTTGCAATGGCTTCTCAACTTTCTGAGGCAGAAGAACGAGAAAGAGCCTTCTCTAATCGTGGACGCTGGAATCAATTGCGTTCAATGGGAGAAGCGAAGAATTTGCTTCAATATATGTTTAATTCTGTTGCAGATGCTAGGTCCTTTGACCTATACCTTTTCTCTCGATCATTAATTATATTTTTTTCTTCAATTCTCTATAAATAAGATAACTAAACAATTTTCTAATTGAACAAGGCACAATTGTGATACTGTATACCGTTATGAATTTCTGTGTTGACAATAGGTGCCAACTCTGGGAGAAGGACATGGAGATCAGGGAAATGAAAGATCAAATAAAAGAACTCGTTGGTCTCTTACGGCAAAGTGAGATGAAGAGAAAAGAAATTGAGAAGGAACTAAAAGTGAGAGAACAAGCTAATGGAAGCACACTGGCTACACCACCTTCGGTAAGACTTGCTACTCGGTGAGGCATCATATGCCAATAAGAAGCCTGTGATTTTGGGAGACATTCTGGAGATATACTTCGGTGCCTAAATATGGAATGAGTGCTGCTCCCTCGATGTGAACAGTGCAAAATTAGATTTAGGATTGGATGGATTTTATAACAGATTCAAGCGAGAATCAAATATGGTTTAAAATAAATATATAACTAGTTGTTGAGTCGTCTGCTAACTAAGCCTATAATTAGGGAACAGAGGTACTTGAACTCTTACATTTTTGTGCTTAGTTATTGATTTTGAGTAGTGCTCCCGGCTGTAAGCAGTCGGCAAATTTTGGATTTAGGATTTGATGGGTTCTAGAGTAGATTCAAGCCAAAACCGACTGGGATTTAAAAGAATAATAATTGTAGTGTTGTCTGTCAAAGAGTCGGATCCAGGCAGCTGACTGAGTCGAAAAAAAAAATTAGGCTTATAGCAGTATTAACTCTGTTAGCGTACCTTAAGTTCTTCAGTTATTGGGTATCACATAAAAGGTCGTTAGTTCATCACACCTCTTGGTGACACGGAGAGACAATATTATTTGGCTGGATAGAGTCAAAGAAAAGTCGTATTCCACCATCAGCCACTCCCTATTTGTTGTTTTACAAGTGCAAAGCTTGACCAAAGTTTCCATCTTATTTTCAATTCCTCATTAACTCAACCGACTATGCCTCACGACTTGACCTTCTAAATCTTGACAAAATTATCAAAATACTTCTAAGGACTATAATATGAACAGAAGTAACAACTGGCTAATTCTAATCCTTGTACCTTCAAATATCAAGTCTAGTAATTTCTTGAACTAGTAGAATCAAGCCCAGAAATCGAAGTAAACCAAAATAGTGAGATTCTTTGATCTTTAGGCTTACACTTCATTGATGTTTCTGTTACCTGAATACAAGACCTTCGGTGCTTGATTAAAAACGAATTTAAGTTGAAGGTTAACATCTATTTAGTATAATTTTAAGGTTTATAGTAATTATTAGTAGCAAAGGACAATCATGTTACAGTGCTTAAACTATAATTGAGGATGTTCTGATAGCTTCATACTTTATCATGAGTCAGAACTGTCTCCTCCATTAGGATTCTGCTAATTATTGTCTTGATGAATTGCAGCTGATATTTTGTGATGGTTACAGCAAACTTTTGGTTGCGTTATTTTACTTTTGTATATCATAGCAGTGGTTATCAAGTTATTGCTTCCTTTGCAAGTAGTTAGCTACTTAATTTATCATCATTCAACTTCAACAGGGTGACTCCCCTAATCCATTGAAACAACAAGCTGAAGACATGAAAGGGCCTTTATCTCCAATGTCTATGCCAGTGCCTAAACAGCTAAAATACACGCCAGGGGTTGCCAATGGGTTGGTGAGGGAATCGGCAGCATTTGTAGATCAGGGTAGAAAGGTAAGTTAATCTTCATTCTTCACTTGAATCGGTTTACGGCTTTTATTGGGCACGGTTGTGAATTTACTGTTAATGTAGATGATACCCATCGGACACCTGTCAATGAAAAAACTAGCAATGGTAGGACAAGCTTCTGGAAAGTTATGGAGGTGGAAAAGAAGTCATCACCAGTGGCTGCTACAATTCAAGTGGAAATGGCAGAAACCATGGAGACTTTCAGAATGGATACGACATAGTGATGAGACGATCATGAGAACAAAACCACGCTCACAGGCTTTGCCACGTATCAGGTGATCTGTTTTATGATCAGCCTATTCATGTGGCTCGGTATTTTTCGAACCACAAGAATTATCCTAGACACATGGCATTGGAAATAACAGAGCACTAGGTACAGGTAAATTAGTGATGACCATTCTTTTTTAAATTTGTCTTCAGTTAAAACTTCTTGCAAACCACTGCCAAACCTGTGGTCTCGAGAAAAATTGTATAGTCCAATATTCTTTAAACGAATACATAACTGACCTTTCAACTTTTCATTTTTGCTATATTTTGTGCTAATTGTTAGTATATATAACTCGAACATTATTATCCAAAAAAGTTTAGTATGGTATTGATCTGACATTCATCGTTTCTTGCAACAGTGTAATATAATTGGTTGCTGAAGCAATGTATATACCTGCCAGTCTTGAATAATGCTGTCCAGATCTTGGAAATTTTGCCATAATTTTTCACATATGGATGATCTTGGAGGTATGTTGCAATGTAATGTTTGGACATTGTTACCCAAATAATGAAAAACGAAGATGTCGCTTGCTTGAAGACAATCGTAGATTCTGGACAGACAAACTATCTTGGAAAATAGTCTGTTCATACTAACAGTACAAGAAACAAAGGAAAGAATTTTTTGTCAAGTCTTGGGAAGCTTATTGTGTATGTTATTCTTTATTGCAAGCTCTTACGGTCCTATTGTGTTTAAGAAAATTGATTTTTGTTTATAGGTTCTATGTTGTAGCATTTTTCACATAACAGGAGGAAATTCCTGTGTAGTTTTTTAGTTCTCTAGTGCTTCGTGTGTGTAAAGAAAGTTAGCTGCTATATTGAAAGATATTTTACCATACAGATTGTATTATAATAACGTAAGCTACTGTTTCATCTTATCATCGTAAACCTCCTATTACGCGTACTGAATTGAATTGAGATATTAAAATATCAATTTACTAGTAAATTTTAAGGATTACATGTGTGAGAAATCTATTAAGTTTTCTTAAAAAAAAATTTGTGCATTTTAAACGGTGTGTAAGGGACTGATTACATGTTGGGCTGGGAAAAGTCAACGTGCTGTTGGACTACTGTAATCTAGTTTAAATATATTTTAAGAGTGTTTGTTTTTGTATCTCTACATTTTTAAAATAATCTTTTTTAATAAATTTTGAAATCAGTTGAAGTTTTCAAAAAAATTTATTGAAAGTTCTTTTTGAACGAATTTCAAAATTCATAAAGTGTAGGACTTTTTAAAATATAAGAATAGTTTTAGAATTTTTTAAAATGTAAGAATACAGGAAGAAATGTGGAGAAATACTCGTACTTTAACCCGTTGGAGAAACCCATGTCTTCTTACTACTATTAAGATGAGTTAATTAACAGAGGACAAAATCAAATTAAAAAGTTTAGTAATCATGGCATGAAGTGTTTACGGGATATATAAGCTTGAATATTGGTCAATCCAATCTTAGGATAAAAAATGTCTAATATATTTTGATTTCGAAAATTGAACTCAAGACCCACTTAAGAAAAGAAAATCTTAATTTTATTTATTCTTATTTCACATACCCACAACCTCTCTATTTTTATAATAAGAATGGATGGTAACTATTTCTAACTCTATAAACATAACTTCTCAGTTAACATTGTGAGGGGGAGAACATTTGAATATTTCTGGCTTAAACATTTTTCCAGTCTTAACAGGAACAAATACAAATAAGATGGTTGAGATTCTCGTATTAGAAGAAATTATTATTTTTAGAAGGCGTTAATTTGTTTTCCTTATAAACTTATAACTATGAAGTGACTTTTCATCAAGTTAAAAATTGGTATTTGTTGTGATGAGTATCTAAGGCAAACGTGAGATGTCACATCTTGCATATAAGATGTCAGTTCCTCTGCCATACTTGCCCACATCATCTAGGTTATCCGACACAAATGTTTCTCATTATGTTGACGATACGATCAACTAAGGCTCGTCGTCTTCTTTTGAACTTTTCACCAATTCATTACACATTCTGGTTTCCACATCATTCCAAAACATGTTGATCGTCATCTTCAATTTAGATGTATCACAACATTTAACCAATTTCAAGCAAATTCATGATATTTATAGGATCATTTTCGCAGCATGTAGATTAGGCAAGAGAAGTTGTTTTTTTTTTTTATTTGTATTGTTGATTTTTTTTTATATATTGTCCTACAATTTTAAAAAAATAATCATACCTGTGGTTTCATTATTAATTATACATGCGGTTTACTTTTTAATTTAATTTATTTAAATTCCAAACCGCACAATTTTTAAAGTACTAATAAAGTTTAATTTATTAAAATATAAAAATCAATAAACATGTAAATAAATAGTGGATTAAAATTATAATTTTAAGTATGAAACAAAAATACTAAAAGTGCATGTACTAAAATTGTGAATTAATAACTGAAAATTAATTTCATTTTAATGTAAAGAAACAAACCTTATTCTCAAGAGAGATTGAAATGAGCGATGAATTATCATTTTATAAAAAAAACCAAATTTCATAATTTCAAAGACATATTATAACAACCAATAATTTCATGATATAAATTGACCATTAACTGACTAAGTCATTTGAAAATGGCAGGTAGTGAATTCCCAGTCTTTTAGATAAATCATATCCCTTAATGGATAGCCTTTTAGGTAGAGTTTCATAATACGACTAAACAAAAACTCTGGAAAAGAAAGAAAAATGAAAAATATTTACTCTCCAGCAGCAATATACAAGCCCAAAATGGGACGTTATGAACCCTCCACAATCTACCAAGATGGTAAAGTCTATTTAAGTAGTACAACAAAGTATAATTTATGGATTTCTTTCTTAAATTTTTTACCCCAGTTTACTAATATTTTGTCCATCTATCCACAGTTTATCACATAATTAAACCGAAAATTTTTGGAAAAATAAAATAGAATAAGACTAAGGCATGTCATCACCACTGCGCAGTTCCAATTCACTGGTATCCTCCAATAGTACAATTTCTTTGATTTCCTGCAACATCTTCAAGACCTGCCACATAGTTGGCCTCTGCTCCGGTGAGGTCAAGCTACAAGTTGTAGCCACCTGAAGAAGCATGTCCATTCGGCTATCTTCGCCCCCATTGTCATCCCTTATGGACCTCACCCAACTTGACATGTCACCAGGAACCATAAATGGAAGCTCGGAGGGAAATTTCCCAGTCAGAAGCTCAAGCAACAAAATCCCGTAGGCATAAACATCGGATTTGTGGGTTGGCTGATGATTGGGGTTGCGAGTTTCTGGAGCTCTGTACGCTGCTGAATCGCCGTCTTCATCAAATGTGGATGGGTGTGTCAACACGGAGAGGCAGTAATCTGTGATGCATGCCTCGAAATCAGGTCCAAGAAGAACATTCGTGGACTTCAGATTGCCATGGACTAGTCTCCATGCCTGGTGGATGAAGGCCAGACCTTGTGCTACGTCCTCTGCTATTTTTAAGCATGATGTCCAGTGTAATGGCCTTGCCCTGCTTGATCTCGATCCTGCACAAAAAATTACCAATCATCAACAAACTATTTCTTCTATAATGTTATGTTTGTTCATTATGCGTCTGAGCATGAATCACACCATTAAAGTATGTATTGGATTACTCATTTTGACAGCATAATAGGAAATTAAAAGCAACAATCAAGCCTAATGCTAATAGAAAAGATAAAAAGAAATATGAAGTTAGGTATAAATATTGGTAGTTGATTCATCGCATTGTGGTTGCATCTAGGGAAATTCAATTCAACACCGAAGCCCCACAGAGATCAGTTTACGATCTCACAGTTTTCACCGAGGAAATACAGTACAAGCGATAGAAGCAGAAAAAAACAGAAGTAGATTGATTCAGTGATCAGATAAACGTCAGAAATTTAAAAATCAGACAGACAAACGTCAGAAATTTAAAATCTCCGACCACCTTGGGTTCCACCGCCTGCATACGGCCAAAAGGGTTCAGTGATTTTGAAACTCCTAAATCAAAAGGTCAGATCTTTTTCCAGTTCAACGGCTATAAAGACTTAATGGTTTATGAATGCACGTACCATCATCAGCCCCACACAGTGATGCCCATCTTTACCTTTCAATGGAATCTACCTGTCCTGAATTCAACAGGAATCTGCCAATACAATTAACAAGCTACCCGCCCCAACTGCCAAAGTCCAAATACCATTGCCATCTATTAGCTGGTGTTACAAAGAAAAAGCATTCTCCAGTAATACCATCTGTCCTCATCGCTTACATAGGCATAGGACCGAAAAAAAAGAAATGTGAAAACAGCTAGCTGGCTAAACGACACGGACCAGACACTTCAAAAAGACTATTCAGTAGCCAATAGACCCATGTTTTCATTAATTATAAATTAAAATTCCCCGTCCAATCTTAAAATAATCCACTGATCCACATATAACAAAACCAATTCCTATTCCCACGTAGTCACTAGTCAACAAGATTCTCGCTGCTGGATGAAAAGCTTAACCGCTATCAAATCCAAAAATGCAATCACATGCAAAAGAGAATTTCAAAAACTTTCCACGCACAAATACATTTAATAATTTTGTTATTATTATTAAAATTTAAAATGGGTGAAACGAGTCAGAGTGGCGAAGGTTCGCTCGCTAACTCAGTGAGTTTGAGAAGGGTACCATACCGTGTATGAGGGAGAAGAGACTGCCATTGGGCTGAAAGTCATAGATAATGAGCCTCTCTTGCTTGGCCTGGAAATACGCCCTAAGAGGAACCAAATTGGAGTGTCGAAGCCCACCCACGGATTCCATGTGTCGCTCGAACACTTCCTTCGTTGCATGGGCAGCCATTTTCCCCGCATCAAGGCGCTTCACCGTCACCATCAGACGGTTATCAAGAGCTGCCTTGTACGTGGTTCCCAAACACCCTCTCCCTAAAAGCTCCGCGGAACCCTTCATCAACTGGTCCAGCGTATACACCTGCGCCTCACCCGCACAGAATACCAAACTCCCACTCTTCGCCACCTCCGCTCTCTTCACCTTCTCTTCCAACTCTCTCTCCATCTCCATCCGCATCACTGCCGCGGCCTCCGCCGTCGCTGCCGCATCCGCCGCCATCATCCCGCACGGCCGGTCCTTATTGCACCGGCTCCTCTGCTTCCTCACCGCCGCCGCGAAGCACACCAGCGAGCAAACTAGAACGAACACGCCGGCGGAGAATCCGATTATCACAGCCCGTCGGTCGCGCCGCTTCTTCGCGTACGGCTGTCTGATTAAGCCACTGACGCCGTGCACCTGCGCGCTCTGACCGAGTGGCGCCTTAGGTGGCCCAGCGGACCCGAAGAAAGGCTGCGCAGGACGGCATTGCACGCGGATGATTTCACCGCAGAGGTTAGGGTTGAACGCAAAGGAAGACGGCGGAAAACGAAACAGCGTCGGCGTCACCGGAATCGCGCCGGAGAGGTTGTTGCGGGAGATTTCAAGTATTCTGAGAGAGGACTGGTTAAACGGAGGGACTGAACCGCTAAAAGCGTTATAACTAAGACGGAGTGTGTGAAGACGATCTAGGTTAGTGAAGGCAGCAGAGATAGGTCCAGAGAGATTGTTGTGAGAGAAATCCAAGTTTCGTA